TGCCCCCCCACCACCCCCTACCTAGGGGCTTCCAAAGGCAACCTTTCAAATATTTGGACACAGCTATAATATCCCTCCCAAGTCTCTCCATTTGCTTCAACCGTCCAGAATTTGACGCCAATCGTTTACCCACTGCATCGTTTCTTCACTTGGTGATCCTTTTTTAATATATTAACTTCCAAAGAATCCCTTCTGATTCTCTATGTAAGCCACCCTTCCCCTAACAACATCATTTTAAAAACGTCTTTGGATCTCAAACCTCCTACTCTTCAGGGTCTGATATGATATAATACTGTTCAGGTCTGATATATATTGATGCTCTGATTTGGGGGTTAATTTAAATGTCAAGAGCACAGGCTCTGAAGTCAAATATACCAGTGTTCAAATCTGGGCTCTGCCTCTTACTAGCTGTGTGACCTTGGGGAAGTTTCTTAGCCTTTCTGGGTTTTAGTTTCCTCATCTGTAAGTCAGGGATAGGGATATTTACTACCTGGTGTTGTGATGAGCATCAAATGAGGTAAGGCCAGTAAAACACTTGAGACAGCTCCTGGCTGCATCATTCAGCTCCTAAGTGACCATTATAAGCACATTTCTCTGAGTTTAAGGCTGGAGGGGGTGCTTTGGGGAAGAGAGAGAAGAAAAGGAGAAAAGAAGACCTTCTGGAGTTATGCAGCCTTTCCCAAGCAGTGTGAATGCCAGGTGAAATCCAACAAAAGGGTACCTTGCTCTGGTCTCATTTCCAATCTCTGGCCAGACCCCCTCCACCCCCATCCCCACCGTGCCTCCGGCCACCACCACCACTGTAATGGGGCAGGTCTTGACAGCTCTTTGAAACTCAGAGGGTTTAAAATTTAAATGTCTTTGAGGGTAAGAGAAACACACCAAAATAAACATACCTCCTGCTGAACAGAGAAAGGGAAACTTGGCAGGCGCCCCAGAACTTTCCCCACCCCCAGCCCTCCCTAAACTTCCTCTTGTGGTTTCTCAAGAGTACAACCTGTTTTCCCCAGCCAAGAAAGCGCCTGAGGCAGGGGGCTGGGGCATGCCAAGGGTTCCACTGCACCCCACCCGATGACAAGGGAGGAAAGTATGCATGGCAGAAGAGTGGCCTGGAGGTCTCTCTAGTTCTGAATTTCACAACCTGCTTACCTGTTATCTTGGTGTGGCCACGCTTTACCCTCAACTGCCAGCCTCAACACCCATCCCCGCCCCCAGCACAGGCCTCTCTCTCAAAGACAGATGCACAAGGTGGTTTGACTGCAGGCAGAGGGGGACCACTTCAGGCCTCCCCAGATCTGTGCAGAGAACTCTTGAGAAAACCTAGAGTTTCAGAAAGGTAATGGAAAAGCGGCTTGGAATCCCCGCAGCCTCCGGTCCGCCCTGTGGCCTGGCTCACATCCAGGGCAAAGTCCCAGCCTGCCTGGAGGGAGGGGGTCAGATACACAGATGCAGCTTTGGGATGCAAGAGAAGCGAACATCTTAAGACTGCTTCCACTACTTGACCATCTTCCTTACTCAGCTACCAGGTTGGACTGTTCCTTTTGGAATCTAAAATAGGAAGATCTTTGCTAAGATTCCCACCAAATGAGGTGTCTTGATCTCCCACATCCCCAGAGTCTGGTACATCACATCCATGTTGCCTTCTTTCTTGCATCAAACTGCAGTTTGTTCCTCTTGGTGAGTGAGGCTTATTCAAGAAAACACACACACACACACACACACACACACCACACACACGGCCTTAAGGAAAGGATACCAGCTCAGTGCAGTCCTACAAGCCTACTCCAGACCTACTGGGGCTCCATGTAAACCATTACCAGCACCCACACTCAGCTAAAAAGTTTCTCTCCCCTTTACCACTCAAGACACAGGTCCTTTCGGAAAACTCCTAAGTCCTTGGCTTAAGCGGACATTCTGTGTGGTCAGTCAGGGAGGCAAGCTAGCCTAGTGCTTAAGAACAGGGTCTCCCGGGTCAAGTGACCTGGGTTTCAATCTCAGCTCTGCCATTTATTTCTGGTGTACTCTTTAAAAAAATGACTTACCTCTTCTGTGCCTAGGCTTTCCTGTCTATACAATGAGATGATCCTAGTGCTGACCTCATAGGACTTAAGGAAATTAAATGAGACATTACACCCCAAACATTTAGAAGGGTGCCTGACAGTACTAAATAAGCATTAGCTGGTATTCTGAACACTTGAGGGAAGGCAACAAAAAAGAGGAGGCACTAAGGACCAAGGTGGTCATGGTCTCAAGGACTAGGATCCTGCAGGAATTCTCAGAGATGCTTTTGATTGGAAGTTCCAAGCAGAGTAGAAGCTTTGACTTGTTTACCATTGTGTCCCCGACATCTAGCTTGTGCAGAGTATGGCCATAGCTAACAGGTGGTGAATGAATTCATCAAGTGTTGTATTAGTCATCTCTCCAAGGAGCCCAGGAATTGAAAGAGAAGAATCTGCAGGAACACGACGGGAGATCTAGTTCTCTTCACCCATGCATGTCTGGTCCCCAAGAGAACTGAGGTGGGGGGCATAGAGGAAACAATCCCAAAGTCCAAGGATGAGGAATGGGTACCCCAACATTGTGTGGATGGTCACATAACCCTCAAGTGGACTCCCAGCTGCATGCAGCTGGGAATTTCTGGATTCTTAGGGACCAGCCCAGAAACTCGCCTTTCCCTGACTTTATCCTGTTCATTCCCACCTCTTCTTCATGCCTAGACAGCAGGTTAAAGAGAGCAGGAATGCCTTCAGGGTCCTCATTGTATCCCAAGGTCCAACACGAGTCAGGGCTCAGTACAACTCTGTGGAATGAGCAAGTGGCCCCCAAAGACTTCCTACCACTTCTCTGCCTAGTGACTCTCCATCACCCAGAATCCAACTCCAAAGTCCTCTTCTCTCTGTAGTCTTGCTATAGCCAGACCAATTTGGCATTTTATCTGTTGTTCTATGACCCACACTAGCTGTAGATGAATAACATTATTCATTGCACCCTCAGCATCCCACAAATTCCAGACACATAATAGGCGCTCAATGTTTGCAGATGAAACCATTATGCTCCCTTAGCAACAGCAACCAATTTCCTCAGTTACTCTTCTTGGCAATACATTAAAAGACACAGAAGAGGCTTGTGTGCCCATCAGACACCAGAGGGACAGACACTGAGGGGTCCTTCCTTGCAGTCCTGTCTTCTGACCTCCTCCCTTTGCCCTGGCTGGCAGGAGGACTCCAATGCTCCCTGCCCACATTGGTTCTGCCTTCCTGCTCGCCTTCCATCCCTATCTCTCAGGTATGAAGAACGACGACAACCCAGTGAGGCCACTGGGCTTCTAGGTCAGCTTGGAGAGGGGCTGTGGGGACAGGGCTCAGGGCTTTGGGGGCGTCTCTGCTCTTCAACTACGTGCAGAACAGCTCACTGGGAGAGAAAGTGAGCCAAGCTTTGAGGGACAACGGGTAGGTGATGAGGTCGCGGTGACCCCCTTAACCGACCCAACTCTGACCACCACCCCAGGCGTCCAGCCTGAACTTGGAGGTCCCAGCGAAGGGTGGAGAGGCTGACACCCCACCTATCTAGGCTTCTTCAGCCATCAAGCCTACCTCCATAGCAGGTGAGCCCCCCGAAGCACGGACTGTGGCCTCATTCTCCCGTCGCCTCTGACTTCTGTCTTTGGGGAGGTAGAGGGTCGCAACCTCCAGCCGTGGGGAGGGGCGTGCACGCCTCCGTCAGGCGCCCCAACAGAAACGGTCTCCACCCCCGCGGGCGCCGCGTGTTTACAAAGTCCGCGCTGCGCCGCGGATCCCGAGTTTAAAGCTGGGCAGGAAGTGGGGAAGAGGGGGCGGGGGAGACAAAGGGGCTGGGTGCTCGGCTCGACTAAAGTTTGGGCCCCGACTCCTCCCCCGGCCGCCCGGGGCTCGCCTTGCAGACCCCGACCCAAGTGCCCTAGGTGAGGGGGCGGGGAACGCCCCCAGGCTCAGGTGCGCCTGCAGGGCCGGTGACGCGCGGGTTCCCAGATCTCTGACCTCTGGGCGTTCGCCAGTCATTCACGCGTCGCGCAGGAAATAAACTACAACTTTAGGTGCTGTCTCTTGACCGCTTACTCTACGTCTGGCACTGGGCCAGACCCTTTGTGTGGATTAGCTCATTTTCTTCTCTATCAATCCCACCCCGGTTTCACACCCCCCCCACACACACACAAGGAAACTGAGGCACAGTGTGGTTAAGTAACGTGCCCGAAGTCCCACAGCCTGCAAGTGTTAGGATTCAAAGCCAGCGTCTGCGCCCTCCCAGGCACCCGCAAACGGAACCGAATGAGGCGCGGTGCGGTCCCCGGCCCCGGCACGGAGAACCCCCGTCCCAGAGTGGCAGATGGGGGACCCGGGGCACAAGCACCCGGGGGACGCAACGCCCTTGGGGATGAGGCGGGCACCGGACAGCTTCCTGCCGCCTGCTCGCCCCGCAAATACCTGCGGATAGAGGGCGAGAAGGCAGCGGGTTGCAGCGGAAGACCTGGGCAAGCTGGTCGGTAGGCTCTAGTTCAAGTGGCCACTGGCGGGCTGCGGGGCCGTGAGCACAAAATAAGGTTTCCCCAAATTTCCAGGTCAGGAGAATCACCTGGAGAGCTTCACAATACGGATTCCCAAGCCCCTTCCCCATTGAGGGAGTCACCGGGACCGAGCGGGACCCAGCCAGGTGTTGCTAACTAACAACAGGCAAGTTTGGAGCGTTCCAGGGATGTGCTCTTTACGAGAAACGATTTCATCTAGAAATAGGTGTGAGACCGAGGGCGCATCTTCCAAGCCAATTCCGAGGCTCACTGGGGGGGGCCCAAGAACCTAGCACTCACTGAAGGTCACGTGATCCGGGGTCCTCAGACACCCCCCCCCCCCCGCCCCCCAACCGCCCGGGCTTAGGAAAGCTCGGAGGGGCGCACGCCGCCCCGCCCCTCACCGCCCCTCCCCGTTCGGCGACTACAAGTCCCATACTGCCCTGCGCTCACGCACATTACGCCAGAGCAAGATGGCCGACACGGCGGCCACTGCCGGGGCCGGTGGCTCCGGAACGGTAAGGGCGGGAGGCGCGGGGCCGAAGGCGAGAAAGTCTGGGTATTCTGTAACTTCACCCTAGTGTGGGCAACAAGCTCATAGCCAGAAATCCAGCCCCACTATGAGCTCCGAGTGGAGGAGCGTCTTTCAGGCCGTACATGCCCCCCTCCTTGGGACTTGGCTACGGCCTCCTGAGTTGGTGGACCTGTGTACTGATTGGCTCCTTTCCTGTTGGGGGTTGGGAACCCGGAACACCTCCTGATTGGTCCGAAAAGGCTGGTTTCGCGTTCTTACTGGCCAGCCGAAGTTGGGAGGGATTCCCGTTTCAAAATATTTAGCTTTCCTACTTTTCTGAGCGGTTGTCCTTTGCCTTCCTCTGCTCAGCATCGTGTGGTGGTGTTTTAATTTTTCTTGTTAGAGAAATGGTGTGGAGGTGGGAGGAACAAGAGAGAGATCATTGTTTTCTGGGAGATGGGCATGAATTCAATCCCATCATGCATGTTTTTTCAGTATATATTTTGATAATCTGCTAAAATAGAAAATAAAAAGCAGACATTTTGTGTTCTTGGAATTTGAAGTTTTAGGTAGCTCCTTGGTATTTAGAGCCCCTTGGGTACTCGATTATTACTCAGCTGGCCAGGATTTATAAGTCTAAACAGCAGGGGCTACCATATTTTATTAAGCACTGATAAATATTTAGCGAAAGAACCTTTGCTTGCCATTGATGATATGGGAACTATTTGATTGCACCCTTGTCCTATGGGTGAAAATCTTTTTTTTTTTTTTTTTTAATGGGTTGTTGATTCGCAGAGATCAGGAAGTAAACAATCCACTAACCCTGCTGACAACTACCATCTGGCCCGGAGGCGAACCCTTCAAGTGGTTGTGAGCTCCTTGTTGACAGAGGCAGGGTTCGAGAGTGCTGAGAAAGCATCCGTGGAAACATTGACAGAGATGCTGCAGAGCTGTAAGTACCAGGAAACAATAGGCCTTCTTCGAGTCAACCAGACATCTTTTCTGTGTTCTGCAATCTGATAGTGTTAAGATTTAGGAAAAAGAAGAACATAGTAAAGTGACTTACGGGCTTTAGAATCAGATGGATGTGGGTGTAAGTTATCGCTCTGCCACTTCATAGCTTGAGCAAGTCACTAAACTTCCTGAACCTCAATTTCCTTATTCGTGAAGTAGGATAATAATTTGTATCTCATGGAGTTGTGAAGGTAAGTGAGGTGCATATGTAAAACATTTGATGTTAGGAACATTGTAAGCTCTTGATGACTTGTAGTTGCTGTTGTGGCTGTTTGTTGTCTGAGCTCAAAGAAGTTATAGTTTTGATGCAGCGTCCAATTAATTCCCATGAATGGATGCTACATATTGGGTAATCAAATGCTATAGCATGTGATACAAAGAGGGAGGGCAAATAAATTTTATAGAATGGAAAAAAACTTGAAACAGGTTGAGGTGTAGGAGCCTGGAATGGTCTCACATAGGCTTTTCTGCTTGTGCAATGTATTTCCCTGCTTGGGTTTTATTGGAGCAGAGGGTGGAAGGTAGGATGGGATGAGAGATGGGGTTACTTACGTTGTCTCTTGAGGGATCAACACCTACAAATCAAAGTGAGAAAAAGGTTTAGGCAGAGGGAGAAGTTAACTGCAATGTAGGCCAAAGAAAGAGTTGGCTAACTCAGTGGGGAGCTCTGGAGCAATTTGTTGCCCTTCAGAGTACGCCACATCAGGCTGAAAAGGCTCTGCCTTTGTACTCAGTTCTCGATCAGGCACTAGATGTGGGCTGCCCCAGGAAGGACGTGGTCTGAGGTGAGGTGATTCTCTGCAACTGATGTTCGGAACTTTTAAATACCAGATGTTTTCCCAAAGCAGTGATCTCAAATGTTTTGGTCTTAGAACCTCTTTAGACTCTTAAATATTGAGGGTCCTGAGGAGTTTTGTCTACATGGGCTTTCTATAGAGCGATTTTTGCCACATTAGGAAATAAAATTGAGAAAAATTTTAAATGTAAACATACATAAGCCCACATTCCATTATCCGTCAGAGCCATGATATCATCATAGGCTACATGGCCTCTGGAAAACTACATGAGACAATGAGAGTAAAAAAGGCAATGTCTTCACTTCATTCTAAACATAGTTTTGGCCTCTGGACTTTGGGAAGGATTTCAGGGCTGCCTGGGGATTCCCAGACCACACTTGGAGAACTTTTGTCCTAAAAGAATGGAGTAATAGTTCCCATCAGAGAAGAATTCAGTTATTGAAAAGATCTTGGAATTCAGAGTTTAAAGGTCCTCGTGGTTGAGGCAGTTCTTTCTGATACCACTGGACAAGAAGGCCTTTTTTCTCTCAGAAGAAATAGTTGCCACTGAGGGGGGATGGAGCTGAAATAGTCGTGTTGGAAAACTGTGAATATTGAAACTGAAAGGCTTGAAAATAGTATAAAAGTCTGCCACTTCGTTCCAAGGAATACCAAGGATAGATGGCTTAAGCTGGGGTCTCACTGAGACTTGAGAACTTCCATGTTGTCAAGAGCTCTGGATATCAACGTTTCAGGATTTGCATTAGTTTTAAGCATCAGGCAGAGTTTTTGTGTTTGTTGTCTATGGTCCCTTAGTTTCTAGGAACTCCAGTCTTAGACTGGGTTCAGAGCAAAGTCTCTGAATACTCTTTTCTACATTTCTTATACATATCCTTTGAAATCCTAGGACCTGCTGAGAAAAAAAAAAAAGAGAAAAGAAAAAGCCAAATGGGTAAAAATATTTTGACTGCTACCTGGCTTGTTTCTAAGACATTCTACCAGGATTCTAATTAGATTTTCCCCACAGTAAACAGATGCCGCCCACCTTTTTCGGGTATGGAAGCCAGTACTAGTGACTTGCCCAGGGTAGTGGCAACCACTTGCTTTTAACTCCTGAACCATCAGGGCTCTAGAGCAGGGGATCCTTACCTTTTGGGTCTCCTTTTGTATCTGATGAAATCTGTGGACCTATCCCCAGAAGAAGGCTTTTCTGTATGTAAAATTCAGCACAATTTCAGAGTTTTCATGGAATTGCCCATCCACCTCTGAAGCCCATTTATGGAGCCCAGTTTCATGCCCCCCCTTTTCCCTGAAGGACTTTGGCATAACATTTTTTTTTTTTTTTTAAGATTTTACTTTTAAGTAAATCTCTGGGGCGCCTGGGTGGCTTAGTTGTTGGGCATCTGCCTTCAGCTCGGGTCATGATCTCAGGATCCTGGGATCGAGCCCCGCATCGGGCTCCCTGCTCAGACGGATGCCTGCTTCTCCCTCTCCCACTCCCCCTGCTTGTGTTCCCTCTCTCTCTGTCAAATAAATAAATGAAATCTTTAAAAAAAAAAAAAAGATTTTATTTTTAAGTAATCTCTACTCCCAACGTGGGCTTGAACTTACAGCCCCAAGATCAAGAGTCACATGCTCCACCAACTGAGCCAGCCAGGCGCCCCAGTAACTTAAATAGAAGTTCAGCTTCAGACAGAAGAAACAAAACTTGTTCCTTCTCCTCCTTTTTTGGTGGCAAGATATACATAACATAAAATTACCAACATAACCATTTGTAAATGAACAATTCAGTGGTATTAAATACATTCACAATATCGAACAACTGTCAACACTATCCATTTCCAGAACTTTCCCATCGTCTAAGCAGAAACACTGTGGGATGCCTGGGTGGCTCAGCGTTAAGCATCTGCCTTGGGCTCAGGTCATGATCCCAGGGTCCTGGTATCGAGCCCCACATCGGGCTCCCTGTTCAGCAGGAAGCCTGCTTCTCCCTCTCCCACTCCCCCTACTTGTGCTCTCTCTCTCTCTGACAAATGAATAAATAAAATCTTTCAGAAAATAAAAAATAAACAGAAATACTGTATTCATAACATTAACTCCCCATCCCTCCCTCCCACAAGCTCCTGGTAACCTTAAATCCACCTTTTGTCTCTATGAATTTTCTGTTTTCTAGATACCTCAGATAAGTGGAATCTTAAAATATTTGACTTTCCATGTCTGACTTATTTCACTTTGCATAACATCTTCAAGGTTTGTCCATGTTGTAGCCTGTATCAGAATTTCATTCCTTTTGAAGACCAGATAATGCTCCATTGTATGTGGGGACCACATTTTGTTTATCCATTCATCTGTGGATGCGCACTGGGTTGTTTCCACCTGTAAGCTATTGCGAATAATGCTGCAATGAACATTGGTGCTCAAGTATCTGTTTTCAGTTCGCTTGGGTATATACCTAGGAGTGGAATTGCTGGCTCTTAATGATAATTTTGTACTTAACTTTTGGGGGCCTGAGACTAAGACTTTATGCCTTTGACCCTTTGCTAGACATTTCAGAAATCGGGAGGAGTGCCAAGTCCTACTGTGAGCACACAGCCAGGACGCAGCCCACACTGTCAGACATCGTGGTCACGCTTGTTGAGATGGGTGAGTACCCCTCCAGTTTTCCAATTCTCTAGTGCAGCTGAGTTGGAAGTTACGAGAGAAAGAAGAGTCCCCAGGAGTTAGCTTCGTCCACCGAGTGTTCTTGAGTTCCCTCATGAGTTTCCTGGTTTGCTTTTAGCTTGAGAGAGGGTTCCTCTGAACCTATTTAAGAGACCTCCTACATTCCTGTTGCGGGGTTCTGCTGGAGCTGCTTTTGAGTGGCAGCAGAGCACTCAAGCGGGGGGTCTCCACTCTTTCTCCACAGTATTACTCCCCCTTCTGGGTTCAATAGCCAGTGGTCTGGGCAGTGAGTTTTGCTCTTCTGTTTCTTAGGTTTCAATGTGGACACCCTCCCTGCTTATGCAAAACGGTCTCAGAGGATGGTCATCACTGCCCGTAAGTGACTTTGAACCAAGGTACTCAGTAAGTGCTCAATTAATGGTTGTGGAATGACTTCATTGAATAGGGCAAGGATTGGTTTGTAGCTACTTCCCATTGTAGGCTCCCTTCCATTATTTGGGGCTACCTGCAATAGGATCTTTATTTAGGTTAATAGGATTAGGGTGCGAAGTTCAGTCACCAGAAGGGTAAACCATTTCTGAGGTGTTGTTATGGTTCTTGTGCTTTAGCCCCAGAAGAGAGCTATTTGAAAAATGTGAAAGGTCTCAGTCTTTCTTCAGTCAAGTAAACTATGTCCTGGAGGCCTAACGTGGCCTACTGCCTATTTATGTCAATAAAGTTTTATTGGAACACAGCCATGTTTGTTTGTTTGTTTTTTAAAGATCTTATTTATTTATTTGACAGAGAGAGAGCTAGTGAGAGCAGGAATACAAGCAGGGGGAGTGGGAGAGGGAGAAGCAGACTTCCCGCGGAGCAGGGAGCCCAATGCGGGGCTCGATCCCAGGACCCGGGGATCATGACCTGAGCCGAAGGCAGACGCTTAATGACTGAGCCACCCAGGCGCCCTGGAACAGCCATGTTTACTTATTATCTGTGGTGGCTTTCATGCTATAATAGCAGAGTTAAGTAGTTGTGATAGACTATATGGCTGGCAAAACCTAAAATATTTCCTCTGTCCCTTTACATCAAAAGTTTGATGACCTCCCTTAGATAAACTGAGTGCCATAAACTGACTTGGGAGTAACTAGTTTGGGCTTGTAGGACCTTGGGGTAAATATACTAGATTTTTTTCTCTCCACTCTTCATGCTGGCACCTTTTTAAGAAATTCTCTCAGAGTAGCAGTGGAAAGGGCCATTTTTAATCCTTTCTTGTTTTCCTTAGCCCGCACTGACTTAACCCTGCCTGGCTCAGGGTTTGTCTTTGTCATCTGGGTTTTGTGGAAAGAGAGTTACTAGCCCACCCCATTTCCTTAGTTCCTCAGCATGCTCCCTTATGTAGTTAACTTGTCACAGCCACACACTCACCTACCTAAGTGGCATTGCAGGCAGATTGTTATACGTGGGACTGTTGACCCCAGGTCATCCAGCAGGGCCGGGTGTTGCAGGGGTGATCTTCCCAGGTCCCCAAGCCATTAAAGGCCCTTTACTGGTAGAAATACAAAGTGCCTGATGTACAGTGAGAACACTGAGGTCCAGCGTTTACTTTGAGAAGATGAGGGGTGGGGTAGAGACCCACAGCCTGAGATGGCGGAGTAACCGGTTGTGACTCTCTTGCAGCTCCAGTGACCAATCAGCCGGTGACCCCCAAGGCCCTCACTGCAGGGCAGAACCGACCCCACCCGCCGCACATCCCCAGCCATTTTCCTGAGTTCCCTGACCCCCACACCTACATCAAAACTCCGGTGAGTGACGTGGCCATGCTGGGGACTGGGGCTGATGCAAAAGTAGTCCGTTCCTACTGACTGTCAGACTGGAGTCCATAAGTTTGTTGGTGAAAGGGTGGTTCAGACTCAGAATGTCTTTCCTCATTGACACACGATTGGGCAGAGGAGAATGTGCTCTTGTTTGCCAGGCTCGCAGTTTCGCCTCCCCTTGGGAAGGTGTGGTGGGCCCAGAGGTCTTCCACACACTTCCTTTGTCCTCACCTCCATCCCATGTCCTGGTGCAAATATGGCCATCAGGCAGGCTGTTGGGGCAAGTCCTCCAGGACATTTCTCCACACCTCAGGAATAATCTAATCACCCGCCATTGCAACACGGCCATTGTCCTTGACCAGTAGTCTCTGTATGAGTGTCGTAGGGCTGCATGCTGTAAGGAAGTGCCACAAACTAGGTGGCCCTAGCCCAACAGGAATGCATTGTCTTACAGTGTGAGAGGCTAGAAGTTCAAAATCAAGGTGTCAGTAGCCTCCCTCTGAAGCCTGTAGGAGAATCCTTCCTTGCCTCTTCCTAGCTTTGAGTGGTTTGTAGGCAGTCTGTGGCATTCCTTGGCTTGTGGGTGCGTCCTTCCAGCTGTCTTCACGTGGCACTCTCTGTCTCTCCTCACGCCGCCATTTTCTTCTAAGGGCACAGTCTTAGGGGATTCGTACCACTGTACTCCAGTTCGACCTCATGTTAACTGATTACATCTTGCATTGACCTCATTTCCAAATAAGATCATATTCTAAGGTACTGGTGTTAGGACTTCAACAGCATATCTCTTTTTGGGGGGACACAGTTCAGCCTACAACAGTGTCTCACTCTTGTATAGTGTATCTTTGTCAGTAAAAATATTCAGCACATATTCCAGTGTTTGCTTATTGACACAAATGTAATGTGACACTATGCCAAAGTTATATACATTAACGGATAATCTCACCCTTATTACAGATTCAGGAAACGTGTTTGCTCCCTTATAGTGGCAGCCAGGGGACTGCCTCTGCTTTTTATTTTTTGAAATCATGGTTTAATACTCGGCGGGATAGTAAGTTGGAGGTCTGATCCTACGATCAGTTTATTTTGGTACTTGAACAGCTCTCACAGTTGAAAAGGCATATTGCAAAGCTGTGCAGCATCACCAGCTGCCATTAAAAAATCATAAACCTAGGGCGCCTGGGTGGCTCAGTTGGTTAAGCGACTGCCTTCAGCTCAGGTCATGATCCCAGGGTCCTGGGATCGAGTCCCACATCGGGCTCCCGGCTCAGCGGGGAGCCTGCTTCTCCCTCTGACCCTCTCCTCTCTCATGCTGTTTCTCGCTCGCTCGCTCTCTAATAAATAAATAAATAAAATCTTAAAAAAAAAAAATCATAAACCTAATTGTTTTCTTTCTCATCTACCAATTATTTGAAGAATCTTGTTAAAAATTTTCTATTAAATTTCCAGCTTCTTGAACGTCAAATGGTTATCTTTAAAAATAATTGTAAGATCTTGCATTTTAATGTTTTTAACAAGTATGTTCACAATCCACTCAAATTTTTTATTTGGGGAAGATCTTAAATATGTCTGAAAATGCTGTTTCTGTGTTTCAGTGTAGCTAGGGGAAGCATACATACAGGTGACACACTTGAATTAACATTGACAACAGTGGGAATGTTTCCAAAACCTCTTTTTTCTTTTTAGTAAACTTTTAATAAAATATCACAAACATACAGAAAAGCACAAATAATAAATGTATACTACATGTACACACATGTTGAACTAGTACCCAGAACTAAAAAACAAAACTGAAAACAACACCGTGGGGCGCCTGGCCGGCTCAGTCGGTGGAGCAGGTGACTTTTGATCTCGGGGTTGTAAGTTCAAGCCCCACGTTGGGTGCAGAGATTGCTTAAAAATAAATTCTTTAAAAAAAAAACCCAAAACACCATAAACCAGCATTCCTAAAGGCGCCCATTCCCCTTTAGTAACTAGCCCCCAAAGGTAATCTAATTTTTATCACCATAAATTCTTTTGTTTGTTGTGCTTTATGTAAACTACGTGGCTTCTTTCACTCAACATTTTGTTTCTGAGATTCTTCCGTGTTGCTGGGTGTAGTTGAAGTTTATTCAACATATACATAATCTTTTGGCATTTGAGCTAATCCAGGTCTTGGCTTACACAAACGGCACTGCTGTGAACATTCTAGTAATTTTTGTAAACCAACAACTGTCAGATACTCGTAATTTTATACATATGGTTCGACCCATGACATGTCTTTTAGTGCACGTATGTTTGCATTCTGCTGAATATATACCCAGGGGTGGGATGGCTGGGTCATCGGGGATACATGTGTTCAGCTTTAGTAGATACTGCCAAGTGGTTCCAATACCTATTTTAAAAATCTTATCTCCGTATCACGAAGAGTAGTTGCTTTTTTGGTCATGGTTAAAATGTCAGTTTTACCGTTAACAGCTTCAAATGTTTTTGCTAACTTCTCATCCTGATGAGATCTCGGTTGTTCTTTACTCGATGATGTGATGGCCAAAGAGCTCATAATTAGGAGCCAGAGGAGTGTCAGCCCACCATTTTCTTGTTCACTTGCGCTTACATTGATAGCCTCGGCCTGTGTTTCTTAGAGGGGCTCTTTTGGGACAACATATCCACTTTGTAAAGGTTGGTTTAGGAAAACAAACCGATACATAAGTGGCCACTCACATACTTTGGGATGTCCCATTACACTGGTAGGGCTGGGTGCTCCCTATCACGGCTTCCCTGGAGGGAGTCCCACTCTCCCTTCAGGGTGCGTCTCTTAGGCCTAACACCAGCTGTCACAGAAGCTACATGAAGGCCCGGGAGCATTTGCTTCAGTAAATGTGTATTTCTTGATTTTTAAGCTTAAAAGTAAATATTAGTGGTAGTTACATCATTTTCTTTCTGCCCCTCCACTGCCCTTGGGGATCTCGGCTCCAAATAATGTCAGTGGGCCATTGAAAGGGTAGAAGGAGATCGCAACAGCAAGAATGATCCATTGGTATTCCTCTAGTGTCTTTGCTCTTCTCTTTGCAGACGTACCGTGAGCCCGTGTCGGACTACCAGGTCCTGCGGGAGAAGGCTGCATCCCAGAGACGAGACGTGGAGCGGGCACTCACCCGATTTATGGCCAAGACAGGCGAGACCCAGAGTCTTTTCAAAGATGACGTCAGCACGTTTCCATGTGAGAGTCTCTCCCCTCTGGGGATCCTGTCTTGTTATTTGAAATAGTCACTCCATCTTCCCTTTCTCTCAGCATGATAGGAAGAAATGAAAGCTCTGTCTTTGTCTTGGGGGCAGCTTGTTCTTCACATTTCTGACTCCTGTCCCCAGGTCTTAAAGGCCTGTGCCTAACCGGTGGCTGTAAAATGTTACAGCCTCTGTTGCGATCGGCTGTTTGAGGATGAGTTTGAGCTACCTCAAGGATGACTGACTGTAGGCATCAGAGAGACTCACCCAGCAGAAGTAGCAGCCCTGGAAGAAGGAGGGACACTGAAGGCAGGGGGTGGGGCACTTACGGAACACCCCCCTCACCCCCACCCTTCCCACCCCCTCACCCCCGTCTCTGCCCTTCACCGTTCCTTTCACAGGCTCCACGTCACTAAATTTCTCATCTCAGCACTACCATTTCACTCTGTGGCCACGTTACCTCATCTCCATAGGCCTTGGGTTTTTCAGAGGTGAACGAGACATTGGTTTGGGTGATTGATGCAGTCAGCAAGGCCCTGTAGAATGCTCGCTGTGGGCCTGGCCCTGGATAAGAGCCGCTAACAGTTCAATTGCCAGACCCGGTGCTAATCCTTTCCCTTATGGTACCTCACTGAATCTTCTCTCGAACCTGTGAGTCAGGAACCTCTACCACCACCATTAGAGGAAGCCGAGGCTTTTAGAGAAAAGAAATGAAGTCATTTCCCCAAAGCCACACAGCCGGTAGATAGGATTCACCCTAGCTCTTCCTGACTACGGGACGCCACAGCAAAAATAATCTCAGAGTGTCTCCTGCTAATCACGTTCTGCCATAGAAATATATACATAGATGATGTTTTTTACTTTTTTTTTTTTTAATTAATAATTTCTTCTTTTCATCAATGCTTTTTGGAAGAACTGGAACGCTCACTTACCTGAAGTGCCCTCTAGCTTAGGGGGTGTATACTTACATGCAGAGAGTTCTCAGGTCCAGTATTTGGACTTGAGTCCTTTAGGCTGAAGAGATCAGTATCCCTGCTCAAGAAATGAAGCTGAGAGGGCTTAACTGACCTTGGGTCTAGGATCACTCAGCTGATACTTTGCTAGGATTCAGCCCCAGTTCTGTCTGCGTTTAGTTATACTTGGTAAAAGTGGGCGCTGAGGCCATATTGCCCGAATTGAGATGCCACTCCACCACTTCCTGTGTGCTTGACGAGGTCGCTCCATGCCTCAGGGTCCTCCTCTGTAAAACAGGGCTGGCAATTGTACTTAATAGGGTGGAGGCAAGGATTAAAGATAGCGTATGGGACATTGTGTGGCCCGTGATGAGTGCTCAGAGTGTGTCAGCCATGACTGCTGTTCGTTGCCGCTCATGGATCTATTGGAAGGCTCTTGGCCCACTGCAAGGACACTGACCGGAATGGTGCCTCTCTTCCAATTTCCCAGTGATCGCTGCCAGGCCTTTTACCATCCCCTATCTGACTGCCCTTCTTCCATCGGAGCTGGAGATGCAACAGATGGAAGAGACAGATTCCTCAGAGCAGGATGAGCAGACAGACACAGAGAACCTCCCTCTTCATATCAGCACGGTGGGTCCTGCCTTCTCTCTGCTTCATAGTACCCACAGAACTCATCCATGCTGCCCTCAGCCTGTCACCCTGAGAAGTAGACATGACCTACCCCGGGCCTCTGGTTTTGTGTCAGGGACTTGCATGATGGGCTCATGATGATCCAAGTGTGACATGAGCTCTTGCATGAGAGACAAGTCCATGTCCTGGGGATCACTCATTCATTCACCAAATATTGAACAGGTGTCTGCCAGAGCCAGGCACAGTTCTGGGTACTGGAGAATTAGTAGGAGACTAAGGAGATAAAATTTCCTACCCTCACATAGCTAAGAAAAATGATAAATTAGAAGATAGGAAGTAGTATGGGTATGAGGGGATGTGGTACTGGATAGGGTGACTGAGAAGGTGACATGAAGGGAATAAGGCTTGTACATAGCTGGGAGTAGAGCATTCCTTGCAGAGGACACAGGAGATGCAAAGGCCCTGAGGTGGGAGCTGTTGTGTTGAGGCACATCAAGGCCATCAAGGTAGCATGAAGAAGGGGGAGCTCCTGGGCAGTTATATCTTAAAGGTTGTATTAAACACTGGGCTTTTTCTCAGTAAGGGGGGAGCCATTGGGAATGCTGAGCAGAGGAGCGTCAGGGGCTGATGTAGGTTTATTAACAAGGTCATTCAGGTTGCTGTGTTGGGAGTGGACTACAGAAGATAAGGGTGGAAGCAAGAGAGACCACTTAGGAGGCTCTGCAGTAAACTGAGGGGTGGTAGTAGAAGCAAAGACAATGAGACGTGGTCAGATAGATTATTTGGTCAGATTTTAGATTACTTTCAGAGGAGAGCCAAGCGATGGAGTGGGTATGAGTTGTGAGAGAAAGAGCGCGCCAAAGAGGAATGCAAGGCATTTCGCCTGAACAACAGGAAAGATGGAGTTGCCTTCAGCCAAGATAGGGAAGCCCTGGGTGGGCCAGGTGGCTGGGGGGAGAGGCAGGAATTCCGGTGAAACAGGGTAGCCTGAGACGCTTATTAGACATCTGGTGGTGATGTCAGGCGGAGAGATGGATGTATGAGTTGGGAGTTCGAGGAGCTGTTAGGGGTAGAGATGCGAATCTGAGAGTCCTCAACATGTAGATTGTGTTTAAAACCATGAGACTGAGTGAGCTCCTTGGGAATGGGTAAGGATAAAAAGAAGAGGAACTGGACTCCGTAAGTATAGACATGTGCTGTCCATTACAGTAGCCACATGTGTCTATTTAAACTGAAATTAGAGGTGCCTGGTGGGCTCAGTCGGTGCAATGTATGACTCTTGATCTTGGTGTTGTGAGTTTGAGCCCCACATTGGGTGTAAAGATTACTTAAAAACAAAATCTTTAAAAATCTAAAAAATAAACCAAAACTAATGTAATTGAGATGTTAAAATTCAGTTTCTTAGTCACACTGGCCGCTTTTCAAATAGCCACCCATGGCTAGTGGCTACCATACGGGGCAGTGCAGATGCGAACGAACACTGTTGTCACTGCAGAAAGTTCCGTTGGACAGCACTTATATAGACAATTGTTTCAAGGAATTTGTAAAGGGACGGAGAAAAATGGAGCAGTGGCCAAAGGGGGAAAGTTAAGGGGTTAAGAGAGGCGTTTTTATTTTTGTTTGTTTCTTTAAGATAAAAGAAATAACAGGATGTCAGTATGCCGATGGGATGATCTGGTAGAGAGGAAAAGTGGATGCAGGAGAGACAGAAACATTTTGGATTGATGTTCTTTGGTAGGTGAGAGGTAAGGGATCTAGGGGCCAGGGCATGGTGGAGGGGTTGGCCTTGATAGGGGCATTTCACTCCCAGGGGAGGAGATCCGAGTGCGTGGGCAGAGACCAAGGCGGGTGAGACGTGCTCGTCAGAGCTCGTGGATGTTTTCGTCTGGGTATTGAGGTGTTGTAATCAGCACATGCGAGGATAAGACCCCACTCATGTCCCTGTATCTTTGCGAGAAAGTGCCAAGTACAGCCACAGAACTGCTAGAAACTTGAATGCCTTTAAGGACCCTGTGGTCCGCTTACCATATTCATCTATCCTTTAAAGTTGGCCCTGGCTTTGAAGCAAAGGTTGCCTTGGTGGTGGTCATTGGACCAAGCATTCCATCTGTTCTCCAAGGCTCCATGCGGCAGGTGGCAGCCAGCAGCCCCAGTATGCAGGTGGAGCGCAGCCTGTGCTGTCTTCTGTTCTTTGCTGACGGGCCTCCTTGCTTGAACACACGTCTCGTTAATGTGGGATTATTCCTTTCCGAATTAGGGCTGGAAGCCCATGGCTTTACCTAAAGCAGAAGAACTTGTTATTCTACACTTCTGTTTGGGACTCAGTTAATTTAGTCTGAGATAGGGTGATTGGGTCTTGGACTCAGATGAGGTTCACCTGATGAACAGGAGGCATCTTCTAAGCACCAAGTAGCTAACAGGCCTGCAGATGTGTGATGGGTCACCGCAGGCGGTGACTTAGGTGAGGTTGTGGAACGCCAGGAACACGGGAGCTGCCGTAGGACTCCAGGATACAGAGAGGCCAAGCCAGATGGCAGAGAATAGCAAGAGCTGACCCTCAGAGACACGCTGGCCCGGCCTCCAGTCGAGACGGCGCTGCTTTCCAGATAATGTGACCTGGGTCACATTCCCTAACATCTGAGTCTGTTTCCTCACAAGTACAAGCAGGAATAGGAAAAGCTATCTCAGCAACGTACATCGGGTGCCTGGCTGGCGGCTCCCTCCCCCAGCCGCCCACCATTTTAGGCTGTATCACCACCTGCTCCTCTATTAAAAGTGAAGAAATAAATACAAAGGCCTCAAGAAAAGGATCCTAGCAACAATTGATATACAGCTGATTGGACTTGTTCATGTTATTCTCTTGAATGGCAAATACAATTCTGTGTTTCAGAATTCACAATGTAGAAAGAAACGCACGGCAACCATCCTTTCCCCCATCTTTGTTCCCTGTCATCCACTTCCCTGCCTCTCAAGCAGTCAGTGTCACCAGTCTCTTGTGTATCCTCCCAGAGACACAGTTTCCTCCTTGTTTTAAACACAAGTAGCAAATTGCAAACGGTTTTCCCTTCCTTTTTTCCTTTATTGGTATATTTTGGTGATCATTCCATACGTGTGTGTTAGGAGCTTCTCCAGCCCTCCTTATGCTTTCGTCATGTCCCACTGTGTGGACATAACCATGGAACGTAACCAGCTCCCTGTAGACGGGTATGTTTCCTATCTGTGGTTTACAGACGTCGTTACAGTGAATTAAATGACTGGTATTTTAAATTATTCTTTTATCTATCAAGGGCAGCAATGCTTTTAAGGACTGTTGCTAGGTGGTTACTTTGTTTAACCGGTTCCGGTTTCTCCATGTACTTGAACATAAAGGGACTATTCATTTTAAATTAGTGTGTAAGAGAGATTTTTTTTTTCCTTGTATATTTGAACTAGCTGCCTTCCACAGACAATACCTGTGTCTCAACTCTTGCTCTTTTATGAACAATGTACCATTCATTTGCTCAACAAGTATTTATTTAGTACCTGTATGTGCCAGATACATTCTGGGTGCTTGGGATACCTCAGTGAACAGACCAAATGAAACATCTGCCTTTTGGAAGCCTTTGTGTTGGCCAGGGGGGAAACACAATGAATGTAATATATAAATGAATCATTTACAGTATATTAAAGATGCGGATGCTATTGTTGGGGCAAGGGGACCAAGGAGGGGGAAGATCCAGGGTGAAGGATGGAAGTTTCAGTTTTAAATAGGGTGATCAGGGTAGACATCACTGAGGAGACATTTGACAAGAGACTTGCAGGAAGTGAGCAAGTGAGCCATGTGGATATCTGGGGAAGAGCGTTCTGGAAAGGGAGCTGCCAGTGCAGAGGCCCTAAGGAACAACACAGAGGTAAGTAGGGTTGTGGCTGAGGGACGCAGTGGGAGGGAGGCTGAGGTCAGGTCAGGTAGGACCCTGCAGTCAGCTTTCAGAACTGGCTTTTAATTGGGTGAGATGGGAGTCATGGGAGGGTGTGGAACGGAAGAGGGACATACCGGAACTTCCTCAAGGATCTCAGACTGTGGGGGAGGTCAGTTAGGAAGTTGCTGCAGTAGTCTTGATGAGAGCTACTGGGGGTCCAACAGGGCAGCTGCAGTAGAGACAGTGGAAGTGGTCAGATTCTACCCGTATTTTGAAGGGTAAGGCCAAGAAATGATCCTAACAGATTTGAATGTGGGAGTCTGAGAAAGAAAAGCAAGGATGACTGTGGAGTTCGGGCTTGAAGAACTGGAAGGACGGAGTCACCTCGGGAAGGGCTGGAGCCCCGTTTCTGGCACAGAAGTCTGAGGTGCCTCCTCGAGGCCAGGTGGAGATGTTGAGCGAGCAGGTGGCTGTGCGAGCCTGGGAGTCAGCAGAGAGGTGAGGGCAGAGAGGCGCATGTGGCAGTGGTCGGGGTAGAAAAATGGCGTTGGAAACTGAGGCACTGCAGTCACCCGGGGGTTTGGGGGGCTCACCAGAGCTTACACACTGTGGCCTTCGCAGGCTCGGGGAGCTCCTGACAGACTCTTCTGCTCCCACCTTTTTCAAGTAAATCTCAGTGAGTTTGGTACTTTACCTTTATCTACTCCTATCCCTTCCTGTCTCAAGGCTGCCTGTCCCTGAAGGAGGCAAGAAAGTGGCATTTCCAGCTCTACTTGGGAGAAGAGAAGCTGTTGTCCCATGACTCGGGACCCACATCCTGGCCTTGTGAGACAAGTGAGCCGAACGGAGGGAGCCTAGTGCCCTCCAGCAGAGGTCCCAGGGCTGGCTTTTCTGCGCCCCTGGCTGTCCCTCCCATCCTTATTATCTCAGGAAACACTTCAGGCATGGTTGAAGTGAACCTGCAGCCACTTTAAGACAGGGCGTTTCCGGTAGAGAAAGGACAGCAGGGAAGTAGGGGGTGAGTTACTGAACCAAGCTATTAACTTCAGAAAGATTGGGCGCCAAATATCCCAGGCAGGTCTGGTCATGGTCACACTTTGGGTCTGGCGTGAGCTAGGTTGTCCTGGGGGCAGGCACTCCCTTTCAAGAGACCCTCCAGAAGGTCTACAACGGCTCTAGGTCACTTTGTAGTCCCACTGGATCGGGTGTGGGAGAGGGAAAGCACAGGGACCCTGGATGGAACTGGGTTTTGGGGGAGAGCAGAATTGGTGGGGCAGGGAGGGGTGGGCAGCAGAACCTAGAACTAAGCCAGTTTCTTCAGGCTCTCTGAGCCTAAGACTGGAGTCCCTGTCCTCAGCCTGCTGTGCCTTGTGAGGGAACCTGCTGTTCATGTCATCCAGTCACAGCGTCCTCTGCCCTGCTGTCTTTTGACAACAATCTCCTGGTTGAGGTCAGGTCCTCTTTTGTCTCAATTACAGAACCGGAATCTCAGTGACAGGAGCCTTGGCCCGTCACCAGGGGGCGCAGCCCAACCGGCTTCTTCTGGTCACTTCTAGTCCCTCAGGCCTGAGCTTCTAGGTCAAGTCCTCAGTGTGATTTTTCTCCCCATTCCCCTGCAGCTTGTGCTCATTTTAAAGAACTTGGAAAATAGAAGAGAGCATAAATAAGGAAAGGAGACTCAATCACCCATATTCCCAGAACCGGTTTATAATGTTTCAACCTACTTTCAATATGTCTACACATATTATGATTAAAAAATGTTTTAATTGAAATCATGTTGAATATATTGTAAACCTATAAACTTTTCTCCCAAATCACTTTCCTCAAAGCAAACAGTGAAAGAGCTGACCCACAGGTCACAGATGGGGATTATCGTTGATGTTCCCGTGTTGGCGCCTGCGTGCTGTCTTTGCCTTGGCAGGAACCCTCAGGGCTTAAGAAATGTTTGGCCTCTGCTGCAGTGTGATCGTTGGTACCTGTTGCAGGTACCAGATATTTGAGAATCTGGAGGAAAGTGATTTGATTTGCATTCAGTTTGTCCAGGAGATGCCCTGTGCACATGATTTGTTCTGGCCCTGCAGATGTCCTGCAAAGCATCTCGGGTCACTTCTCTTTCTTTATCTCCACACAGGCCGGGTTTCCTCCTTGAGCATCCAGATGTTTGCCTCTGACTCCCTGCCCCTGCCAGGCCTCTGTTCTAACTCATGTCCTTGCCTTCTTGAGAGGTTCAGAGTTTTGTTTTCTGTGCTGCCCTGTGTCCAAGCTGTTGGTCTCCTCTTCCTTTGCTAGCCGGCCCCTGCCTGGGCCTCATTTCTCCAGGGCAGAGATAGGTACACTAGAAAGAAAGTGGTCCCTGGGCTTCTAATTTCTTGACGAAAGGAATGCTAATAGTAGTTCTTATTATGGGCATGATCTCTTTCCTTATGCCATTGGTATTTTGCTTTATTTCGGCTTTTGCTCAAAGGATGATTCTGGAGCCGAGAAGGAGAACACCTCTGTCCTGCAGCAGAACCCCTCCTTGTCGGGCAGCCGGAATGGGGAGGAGAACGTCATCGATAACCCCTATCTGCGGCCTGTGAAGAAACCCAAGATTCGCAGGAAGAAGTGAGTTGGAGGCTGGGGTGCAGAGAGGCTTCTCTGGCCAACTGAGGTGGTCTTCTCTGCTCCCTGGCAGAAAAGAGAGGCTCCCCAGTGGGTCTGAACCTAGGGAAAGGAAATCTTTTCCCTTTTCCTCTCCTCACTCATCCCCCATATGTTCCTCTTGCTGCAAAGAGGTTGAGCATCCTGTAGCCCGGGGACCAGCCCTCACAGCCCTAGAGCTGTCCCCCTTAGAAGGAGAGCAGGTGGGGCCCCCACCAGGCAGGCTCCATGGATTCCTCTTCTTTCTAGGTCGCTCTCGTGAGCTGAGAAGGAAGCCTGCCTTGTACAGAGACGCGGACACCACTCTCCTGGGGCAGTTAAAGCCACTGGAGGGAAGAAGAGAGGGTGGCCTCCTCAAGGTCAAGCCAAGGCAGCCGGTGTGACTGGGCATGATTTTAATAGCAAACTCAAATATTAAGACCACCTATTTTCACTGGATATTTGGGTGGAGGAAGACATGATGGTAATGATCAGACTTTCTGAATCCACCTGAGTGACTTCAGTTATTGTCACAGAACTTGATTCCTTTGAATCCTGGAAGACCAGGCATGCGCAGATAAGTCACACACACAGGAGTTAGAGTGATGCATAAGGGTAGCCCTCTCTCCTGGGAGATTGATCACTGGCTGTCCCTCTGTGGGATGTGTGCTTGGGGACTACCCACTAAGTCCTGCTCCATCCTGGGAAAAGAGGTTTTCTCTGACAAGAGCCCTAATCAGTGGATATATTATTTTATGACTTGTAAAGGAATCACCGATTGTAAACAACAGGAAAAGGATTTGATGGCGGGGTTGGGGGGGGTGTAGAATTTGAGGGATGGACCTGGCCGGTCTGCTGGAAGGCTAGCGTGGACCGAAGGCTGTGGTCCCACCTTATGGCAGAAGTGGGCTGAGAGGAGCCTGCAGGCCAAGCCAAGGTATTCTTCCAGAAGCAGGTCTGAATCTGATCAACCTCTTTTCTTTCTGGGGAGAGAGGACTTTGTCCTTGATGTACCCTACAAACCAAAACAAAAAAAGCAAGTGTTAAGGAAGATACTGGGCAAGCTGATACCCTTTGGCTGGTCTCCAAAGGAAGAGATTTAAAAACCCAAGTCCAAAGAAGAAAAATGCCAGCAACACCTGGAAGTTAACACAGGATAAACAAGTTGTTCCTTGGGTTAGTGTCCTAAGGTCCGTATCGAACTTTCCCGATGCTCTACTTCCAGAGTCATCTCTTCATCTTCCATGCTCTAGGTGAATTTGAAAACTTGAAGAACTTGAAGGCAGGTTCCACGTTCCTCCGGCCTCACTCTTGCCCTAGGGCCCTCCATCCCGTTGCCTGGAGGCAAAGGAGCTGCTTGTCAGTCACTGAAGATGGCATGCCAGGGAGATATTTGGGTTCCCCCACTCCGGACCAAATAAGCATTCAGGTTTGCAGTGGCCTGAAACTCTTCGACTGGACAGCAGTCAGAGCGGGCCTTTGCTGAGTTTGTGATTCGGCTCGTGGCGATTCTTGGCCGGTTGAGTTTACAGGCCCAGGTTTGAGCTCTGGCAGGTGCAGGGCTGAGACCTTGCCGGCTTGCTGTTCGCTCTCGGGGCAGCCACCCCTGTCAGCATTTCTGCACTTCCTCTTTCGCCATTACTGTCCAAAACCAGCACCTGCCCCATGCCACAAATCTGAGGGAAGAGGAGGCGGGTTTGGGAAAGAGTTGCTACTTCTGCTGTTGAGATTGGAGGCCCTAATTCTGGATGCGAGGCCCTGGGAGATGATTAGACAGCTTGAAACACTGACCCGACTATTGATGTGTAAAAACTGTGTATAATTCTCAATGTATATTTATAAATTTCTATTTTTTATAACTTTGGGAGACTTCTTGGAGGGAAGATGTAGTAAACAGAGCCAGATTAAGGACGTGATTTATGAGCTCTTAATCAAAGGTCATAATAAAAGCTTTGCAAATGAAACAGAATGATATACTTTGAACTTAATTTGTATTCAGAAGTACAGCAAGGAGTAAGACTGTAGACAGATAAGGTTTAGTTCTTCTGTTGGACTAATTACCCCTGGATACTATATAAAACTTTCTACTTTGGAAATTTTCAAACACAGAATGAGGAAAGTATATATGCTTTCCCTGTATATCCTTCACCCAGCTTCAACACTAAGCAGTATCTTTTCAATTCTGTTTCATTGATGTCTCCCACCTTTTTTTTCCTTTATTTTTTCTTCCTGGAGGTTTTTTTTTAATTTTTTTTAAGATTTTATTTATTTACTTAAGCGAGAGAGCAAGAGCGGGGGGAGGGGCAGAGGGGGAGGCAAAGGGACCAGCAGACTCCCCGCTGAGCGAGGAGCGGATGCGGGGGCTCAGTCTCACTGAGATCATGACCCTGAGATCACAACCTGATCTGAAACGGAGAGTCGGAGGACACTTAACCAACTAAGCCACCCACGTGCCCCTCTTCCTAGGGTTTTAAAGTAAACGCAAGACCTGTGTCATTTAATCTGTAAATAGGTCATCATACATCTCTCTCTGATGGACCTTTTTTTTTCTAATTTTGAAATTATAGATTCACAGGCTGTTAGAAAGAAAAAAATGTCCCATGTACCCTTGGCCCAGTTTCCCCCATCGGTAGCATCTTGTGTAACAGGTGCAGTGTCAGACCCAGGAGACTGGCCTCAGTACAACCCACAGAGCCTATTCGGATTTCACCTTGTCCTCTGTGTGTGAGCAGTTCTGTGCGGTTTGGTTACACGTGGATTCATGTAACGACCGCCACAATCAAGATACAGAACATTTCCATCACCACCACCACCTCCCTCATGCAGTCTCTCCATGACCACATCCACCTCTCCCCATCCCTAACCCCTGGCGGCCGCTCTTCTGTTCTTCTGTTCTCCATCTTTATAATTGTATTCAAAGATTGCTGGGGTGCCTGGCTGGCTCAGTCAGTTAAGTGGCTGCCTTTGGCTCAGGTCATGATCTCAGAGTCCTGGGATCAAGCCTCTGTCAGGCTCCTGACTCAGCGGGGGAGTCTACTTCTCCCTCTCCCTCTGCCCCTCCCCCCCCCGCTCATGTTTTCTCTCTCTCTCTCTCAAATAAAATCTTTAAAAAATAAATAAAGATTATTAATATAAATGGGGGTGCCTGGCTGGCTCAGTTGGTAGAGCATGTAACTCTTGATTAAGGGGTTTGAGTTCAAGCCCCACGTTAGGCATAGAATTTACTTTAAAAAAAAAAGATTGTTGGGCACCTGGGTGGCTCAGTCGTTAAGCGTCTGCCTTCGGCTCAGGTCATGATCCCGGGGTCCTGGGATCGAGCCCCGCATCGGGCTCCCTGCTCGGCGAGAAGCCTGCTTCTCCCTCTCCCACTCCCCCTGCTTGTGTTCCTGCTCTCACTACCTCTCTGTCAAATAAATAAATAAAATCTTTAAAAAAAAAGATTGTTAATATAAATGGAATCATAAAGTTATAACCTTTGAAGGTTGGCTTTTTTCACTCAGCATAAGTAAGAGCCCTCTGGGTTGTGTGTATCGGTAGTTCCTTTGGGGTTTTTTTGCTGAGTCATACTTCATGGTGTGGATGTACCACACTGTGTGTAACTATTCACATTTTGAGGAACATCGAGGTTGTTTCCAGTTTCAGCCTATTATGAATAAAGTGGCTATACACATTTGTGTATAGGTTTTTATGTAAACATAAGTTTCACTTCTCTACAATTAATATCCAAGAATGTGATTACTGGGTCCTGTGGTAACTGCATGTTTAATGTTAAAAGGAACTGAAACTCTCCCAGAGTAGCTGTACCTTTTTTTTTTTTTTTTTTTTAAGATTTTATTTATTTGACAGAGAGACAGCGAGAGAGGGAACACAAGCAGGGGAGGAGCGGGAGAGGGAGAAGCAGGGGAGGAGCGGGAGAGGGAGAAGCAGGCTTCCCGGCTAGCAGGGAGCCTGATGTGGGGCTCGATCCCAGGACCCTGGGATCATGACCTGAGCTGAAGGCAGACACTTAACGACTGAGCCACCCAGGCGCCCCATAGCTGTACCATTCTGCATTCCTATTAGCAGTATATGAGTGATCCAGTTTCTTCACATCTTCACCAATATTTGGTGTTATTATTTTATGTTGCTTTAGCCATTCTGACAGGGGTGTAATAATGTCTCATTGTGACCTTAATTTGTATTTTTCTAATGGCTAGATGTGTCTGTTTGCTATCTGGTGGAATCCAGTTGAGTCTTTTGCCCGTTTTCTCATTGGTTTGCTTCTTTGTTTTGAAATTTCTTTATTCTAGATACAAGAACTCTTGTCAGGTGTGCAGTTTGACACTTTCCCACTCCACAGCTTGTCCTTGTGTCCTCCCCACAGGATCTTCTGCAGACCAAAAAGCTTTTAATTTTGAAGACCAACTTATCAGTGTTTTCTTTTATGGGTATTTTTAGTGTTGGGTCTAAAACTGTTCACCAAGCCCTAGCTCCTGAAAATCTTTTTCTGTTTTTTTTTTTTGTAACATTTTTATAAATTTATGTTTTACATTTTAGTCCTTGATCTATTTTGAGTATATTTTTATAGAAGATGTGAGATTTAGTTCGTTATTTTGTCTGTAAATGTCCAATTGATCCAGCACCTTTTATTGAAAAGCTACTCTTCCTTCATTGAATTACACTTGTACCTTTGTCAAGACTTCGTTTTTTGTGTGTTGGGGGGCAGATTTGTGTCGGTTGATAGACTTTTTTTTTTTTAACATAATCACCATGTCAATAGACTTAACAAATGAACAGAGATTTCATGATAGCTTTAGTATCCAGTTCATACTCAGTTTTTTTCCAGTTGTCTCAAAAATGTTTGTTTGTTTTTAATAGTTGCCTTGCTTGAATCAGGATCAGAATAAGATCCGCACACTGCACTTGGTTTTCACATCTCCTAAGTGTACAGCAGTCCCTCTTCTATTTACTGATGAGCATGCCCCTTCCTTGACCCCCCTCCTGGGCCTGCAGCCCCCAGTCCAGCCTCTGGCGAGGACACTCAGCAAGCCCCCTTCCTTTGTTTCTGACCAAGGGCCAGTTAAATGGTGACCAGTGAAAACTGAGAAACCAGTAAGAAAATGGCCTGGCCTTCTGGGGAAACAAGCGTAAAAGGAACTGACGTCCTTGAGCTTTGTTTTTCTAGAATCCTGAAGTTGCTCTAAGAGGCCATGTGGTTCAGTAGAACAAAGCTTGCTGACATGTGTATTTATGGCCCCACAATTGACCGGCTGTGAAATCTTGAGCAAATCACTAAACTACCAAACCAGTTTCCATAAAACGGGATAATTATGATACCTTGTGAGGAGGATTTAATGAGAAATGTCTGTAACCGTGGCTTATAAGTGACAATATTACTCCATTGCCAGACTATTTCCTGTTGCTTTAAAAATTACATATAAAAACGAATACTGAGAACTTAACTCTTGCCCATCACTGTTTTACAGGTATTGACTCATTTACTCCTCACAATGATCTCATAGTAGATTTTCTTACTGCTTCCATTTCCAGCTGAGGATGGGGAGGCGCAGGGAGGCTGGTAGCTTCCCACAGTCCCTGCCGCTGCCGAGTCCCAGAGCTATAGTCTGCACCCAGCATCCTGCTGCCGAGCTCATGCTTTTTACCTTTGGCTATTGCTTCACGGCCGTACATGCTTGTATCTCAAATGCACTGAGTGCTTCTGTGTGCAAAGTGATTCCCACTATACCCCCATGCTGCCGTGGCCTGCAGGTGGGAGGAGAAGGAGCTAGAAATGGAACCAGTGACACAGAGAGGGGGATGGGGAGGCAGGCTAAGGCTGCCAGTCACAGCTCTGTCCATTCCTCGATGAAGTAGATGAAGGGACAAAAATATTTGTGAAGGATTTTGGTCAGTTTATGAATAATGGATCTGTAGCAGATTATAAAGGAGGCTATGGGTTTTCTGGTACGAGGAGAGTGAGGATCTTGTCAGGGGAAACGCCTGTGGCCCCTTTCCCTGCCCTGTGGGGGCCCTGGCAGAGACAGGCTGGAACAACTTTTAGTCCGACCTAAGGTGGTATCTCTACTGGATTAAATGGTGTGTTCCAATGAGTTGGGCTGTAGAGCCCCCAAAAATCCCCAAAATCTAGGGGTTTAAGACAGAAATGTACACCTTCTATGAAAGTCTGAGTGAGTAGGCGCTCCAGGCTGGCTTGGTGGCCCGATGGTGTCAAGTGTCCTTCTATTTCCTGGCTCCTCCATCACCTCAGGTGCTGCTCGCATCCATGTGATGGAAGGTGGCTGCCACCCTATCCCCTGGCTCCGCGTTCCAGCCTGGGGGAAGGAGGAGAGAGGAGGCGTCTCTACAGGAGAGCTCAAGCCCCAGGAGCTGCCCCCTCGTAGTCAATGGCCCCACCAAACTGCAAGGGAAGTGAGGAAATGTGGGCTTTAGCTGAGTGTCTAGGTAAAATTTGGGAGCCCTGTCACCATGGAAAGAACAAAAGAATGGATCTGGAGGACAGCTGGCAATCTGCCACAAATGAGGTTGAGGGCGTGTGCCCAGGAATGCCTTGGTGGGACAGGCAGCAAACCCCTCCCGAACACAGAAGCCACCAGACTTGGCACCCTTGGCTCTGCCAGCTGGGCCCAGAGGCCAACAGCTGGGTGCTCCTCTAGGCTGGGGCCCTCAGTGTAAGTCCAACCCAGCTTTTGCCTCTGATGTGTGACCTTGTTAGCTGCCCCTTCCTTCAGAGTTGTTCCTTTGGCTTCTATGACATGGCTCTCCTTTCCTTGTTATCCTACCTCTTGGCTTCCCTTTTCTTTGCTGGCTCTTCCCCTGACCCACCCAGCTGTGGATGGTCCCAAACACTTTTCTGCTTATACAAGGAGATGGCTCATCTGCTCCTCCACCTCCATCTGGTACCTCCCCGGGAGTCCTCAGCATCCATTTCTGTCTGTAGCTCGCTCGCCACTGAGCTGTCTGGCTATAGTCTGAATGCAACACAGTCTGATTGGCTTTGATTCCATGTCCGATGCCCAGCTTTCCCACTTCAGAAGGAAGTTAGAGACAGGCCAATAGCTGCTGGCCCTTGAGTACTTGCCTTGGGCCTTGGTGGCAGGCTTTACAGCATTGCCTCACCCTCCCAGCCCTTCCCCCCCACCCCCAGGGGGCTAAACACTCCGGAATCTTCCTTCTTCTGGTCAGTCACCAAATTCTGCCACATCGTCCCCCCGTGCCAGTCTGATGCTGCACCTCCCTGCTGTCCCCCAGCCTGTGTCCCCTGCAGGCCCACCTTCCTACCCGTCCTTTCCCTCCCTGCAGGACGACTCGCAGTTCTTCCCTATGGCTCCTTACCCCAAGTCGAACCTGCCCAACTGGCTTCCCAGGGCCTCTGCCAATTATTGTTTCTTTTGGATAACTCCTATCTCTTTCATTTATTCAACAACTGTGGATCTAGTGCCTTCTGTGTAGGCCAGGCACTACGCCAGGCTCTAAGGGTACCTTGGTGAACAAGACAGACATGGCCCCTGCCCCCAGGGAATTCAATTCGGTGGGGGGTGGGGGGACGGGGATGGGGAGAAAACAAAACCAGAAGCATTAGAGATTGTGGAGAAATGTGAAGAAGGACATCAACGGGGGTCTTTATGCCTTGAGGGGAGAAGGCCATTCTCATCACTGTTGCACCCGTGCCTTCTTTTGTAATCTTCCTGGCCACCACCTCCTAAAATCTGGCCTGTCCTTCCGGCCTGCATGTCCTCTCCAGATTATATTGATCCTTTCTTTCCTCATTCACTCATTCAACAAACATTAACTGAGCCAGGCAGTTGGGATAAAGCACAGAGTGTAGTAAAGTCATTACCTTCTTTCTCTCTCTTTTTTTTATTTTAAAGATTTTATTATTTGACAGACAGAGACAGCGAGAGAGGGAACACAAGCAGGGGGAGTGGGAGAGGGAGAAGCAGGCTTCCCGCTGAGCAGGGAGCCTGATGTGGGGCTTGATCCCAGAATCCTGGGATCATGACCCGAGCCGAAGGCAGACGCTTAATGACTGAGCCACCCAGGCGCCCAATCATTACCTTCTCTGACCTTATGGTCCAGTTGTTGCACAGACAGCTCACAAACAACAGACATGTAACGTTGGGTGGTGAAGTGGGGTCCCGAAAGGAAAACGGTAGTGTGCTTTGTGTAATTTAAAGATTTATTTATTTATTTTAGAGAGAGGGAGCGCGTGCACGTGCACACCTACACACGTCCGTTGGGGGTAGGGGCAGAGGTAGAGGGAAAGAATCTCAAGCAGACTCCATGTTGAGCCCAACGTGGGGCTCGATCTCACCACCCATGAGATCATGACCTGAGCCAAGATCAAGAGTTGGAGGCTTAACCGACTGAGCCACCCAGGCACCCCTACTTTAGATAATTTAAGGAAAATTTAATAAAGGGATTACCTCCAATGGTGGTGTAGGGGATAGGGGAGCACAAGGTGGTATACTACCTGGGTGAGTAACAGGGAGGGGGCAGTTACCAGAACCTGGAGAGAGGCCTCTGTGGGCGCCTTCTGCCAAGAGCTGAGGCCTTAGGTCATTGAGGTGCCCAGTCACACACAGCAACCTTACAGGGAAGGAGCCAGCTGGGAAATTAATACCCTGACCTCAGGCTCCTCCCTCCAAACTTCCAGTGTTCTGCCTGTCCTCTGCTGAATGGAAGCTGGAAACCAGAGGACCAGCCTTCGAGGGCACAGCGCAGGGGGAAGGTGGGAGGGAGTGGATCTAGAGGAGCCGATGAGAGGAGCTAGGTGCCAAAGGGGTTGCTATTTTATTTTATTTTATTTTTTAAGATTTTATTTATTTATTTGAGAGAGGGCAGGGTGGAGAAGGGACAGGGGAGGGACAGAGGGAGAGGGAGAAGCAGACTCCCCCGCTGAGCAGGGACCTGACAGAGGCTTGATCCCCGGACTCCCAAGATAATGACCTGGGCTGAAGTCAGATGCTTAACTCACTGAGCCACCCAGATGCCCCAACGGAGTTACTACATTAGAAAGGATAAGGAAGGAAAGCTGTCTTTGAGCAGGGCTCTGAATGCATCGATGAGGCCAGCCGAGTGGAAAAGCATTCCAGGGAGAGGGAGAAGCAAGCGCTGTGTGCCTGGAGAAGGTGGGAGAGGGGGGTCAGGGAGGAGCAGGGGGCCACACCATGCAAAGCCTCCTGGGCCTGAGTAAGGGCTTTGGGGGTTATTCACAGATGGGTAGCAAGGGCGTGTCAGGATCATTCTGGCCGCTGGGTGGTGGTCTGGCTGTAGGGCCATGATGAGACTACTTGTCTTCAGTTAGTTCCACAAAGTTTGGCATTTAGCAAACGTGATTCAACTAGGGGGACAGCCAGCAACCCCCAAACTGGAGGCCCCAAGAGAGCCAACCAGGCCTTTGGGCCTCTCCCTGCAGTCTGAGTCCTGTACCAAGGGAGAGGGAAGAAACAAACACATAGTAACTCCTTTCCCCCAGGCGCTCACTTGTAGTCAGGGAGACAATAAACACAAGAACCTGTTTAACACCACACATCTAGACCGAGGAACAAGTGTCGGGAAAGGGTTGGACTCAAGGGCTGAAGACTGGCCTGAATGGGGTGGGGTTAGCAAGCAAAGCTTCTGGAAGAGGTAAGGGACAGGGGAGATCTGAGACGGCCTGAGGGAAGGTGGGAGGGCAGGTGACCCAGCCTGAGAGGACTCAGGTGCTCAGGTACCCTCCACCCTCGAGGCCCTGCTTCCCCTGCACAGCCCCTGAGTCTCCTTTGCCCCTCCTGTAACATCTGCAGAGGCTAGTTTGGTGTCAGGTGGAACCAGCCTTCTACCTCGTGAATCTGGCAGAGGTCCCTTCTGTGGCATTGCCCCAGGAAAGGGGCCATTTTTTTTTTTTTTTAAGATTTTATTTATTTATCTGAGAGAGAGCGATCACAAGCAGAGGGGAGGGGCAGAGGGAGAGGGAGAAGCAGACTCCCCACTGAGCAGGGAGCCTGACATGGGGCTCGATCGCAGGACCCTGAGATCATGACCTGAGCCGAAGGCAGAGGCTTAACCGACTGAGCTACCCAGGCACCCCGAAAGTGGTCATTTGAATTGATGGGGTCTGGGGTTAGAAGGGGCCCTGCTCCAGCTCATTTACCCAGGTGAGTTCCTGATAATCTGCGAGGCTTTTAAATAGAAGGGTCAGGAGGCTCAGAGGTCTTTGTGAGTAGTGCCCTGGGTGTAAGAGGAATGGCCTGAGCCTTGCCAGTTATTTGTCATCGTGAAAGAGCCCTGGGGCCCCAAATTCTAATTTGATTTCTTTAGGACTTTGTTAAGCATTCATTTATGAATTTTCTTCAACCACTGATGATGGGTCTATCATTCTTCTGTTTTACTCAGGCTCATACTGAAACAAGTTTTTAATTCTCTGCACTTCAGTCAGCCCACAGTGCCCAGGTGCAAGTGGGGGGCAGCCGGCCCGAGGGTAGAGATTTCCCATGGACATTCTTGCTTCTGGAAACACATTCGAGGTATTTCTCCTCCTCTTGGAGCGAGCGGCTTACCCCCATCTCCATTTTATTACCTGCTTGTCCTTCTTTACTAAAAAGTTTTTTATTTAATTTTGAATAGATAATATATGTACACAGTAGAAAATTTCAAAGACAGAAAAAGATAAAGTGATGACTAAGCATCTCCTTCTTGCCCTGTTTCCCAGACTCCCAGGTCTCTTCCCTGGAGGCTACCAGTATGTTAGTATCAATATTTTGTCTTATGTATTCTTCCAGAAATAGGCTGTGTTTTGAATGCAAATGCTTGTATATACTCTCTCCTCTTTTTACACAATGGTAGATACTATATAAACCATCCATGCTTTCTCCCCCACTTCTCAGTGCACCGTTTGGGAGTGGTCCCACGTCAGTAATAAAAAGTTGCTTCGTTCTGTTCCTTGGCTGCAGTGGTGTTCCATAGTGTGGCTCTACCATTATTCAACCGGTGCCCGGGGGATGGACGCGCTGGTAGTTTCCAGGCTTCTACTATTGCGCGCGGATGCCCGCCCACTACACGTAGACAGGTGTCCTTGGATGGCTCACGAGTCAGGGCAACTTACACTCTCACCTCAGTGCCTGCCTCTTACACTTCCACCTCCTGTGTCTCAAAACCTGTCGGAGCCCGCCAGCCAGAGGTAGAAAATGGGCCCTTGCCGTGGTTCTGTTGGAGTGGAGTTGAGAGTCTTTTCCCGTTCATTTTATCATAGCAAGGAAGTGCGTGTGGGGGGGGGGGGGGTCGGCCAGAATCGGGGACTTCAGCACCACGTGCTGTGATGATGCCCCTCAGAGGGGCCCCCCAGGTGCCATCACAGCCTCCTTCTGGGCCAAGACTTGAGAAAGAGCGTCCCAGGGATGGTGACTCATGAGTGGCCCTTAAAGCTGAGCAAGTCAAGCAAAGGAAGGAAGGGACATTCCAGGCAGAGAGGACAGAGAACACAGCACATGAGGGGGACACAAGGCTGAGTGTGGAAACAAAGGTTAAAGGCGGACCCTAAGGGCCTTGTTGGCCTTGCCGGGGAGTTCTGTTTTGATCCTATAAGGGTCAGGGTGCCCATGAGAGACCCAAGATGCATTTTGGCACAGATCCATGGACAGAGTATCTGCTCCACGCCAGGCGCTGCGCTAAAGCACTTAATATAGATGGTGCGTGCTGCCATCAGCCTGGGAAGGGGTGCGATCATCATCCCCACTTACGCGCGTCTCATCTCACTTCGTAATAGCGCTCTCATTCTCGCCGCTTCTCGCTGTGTAACAGAAGAGGACACAGAGGCTTAGAGG